TTGTGCATTATTTAATCTTTTCACCTGCAGCTATGATGTGCTCTAGAAGATTAACTTCCTAGATTTTTAGATTGCTGAAGTTTTAGAATATATACCCATATACATTTATGTACATGAATATGAATCCAAATGTCTCTACCTCTAAATACAAGAATAGATACCATAAAAATTTTAGGAAAAAAACAATGTGTGTGTGTGTGTATGTGTATACATATACATATATACTAAGACATATATATATATGTCTTAGTTCTTAAGCAGCATATATTACCGCCTCTAGCTCAGAGAGTGACAAACCAACCCTCAGGAAGCACCAGCCTCTGTTTTGTAAATAAAGTTTTATTTTCACACAACAGTCACACCTTCATTCACCTATTGTTTTATGGCTGCTTTCTTTTGTGTTACAGTAGCAGAGTTGGACACCATTGCTATGGAAAACATAAGCTTCTGCAAAAGTCCAAATATTCACCATCTGGCCTTTAATAGAAAACTCATAACCACTGGCGAGCTAGGAAAGTCAAACAATACTAATAATAAAATATATGAACAAATGTCACTTCTAGTAACTAGAAAATAATAGGGACAGCAAGCAATGAATTGTCTAATCGCCTTGTAAAAGCAATGATTACAAACCAATATTTCCATGATGAAATAAATCAGCATTAGCTGGTTTCATTAGAAAATGTTTCATGGCAGAAAAATGATTTGAGCTGGACAAGTATACATGATGGTTAATAAAGATACCCTATGATGAAATTTAGGCAAGAAAAGTACATCATGTGGAGGTGGAAAATAATAAACTATAGGTATTCAGGAATAATGAGAAATACCTTTTTAGTGTGTACACAATGTGTATGTAGAAGGAAAGTGGTAGATGAGGTCAGATAGATTCGTGTTTTAGAAAGAGAGGTGGGTATATCTGGGATAGCATCACGACGTACCAGTTACATAGCCATAGCAGTCATTCAAAGCGGAAATGAATTCTGAAACATGTTGGAAGAGTAGGGTAAAAAGAAAGGAAACACATTAGACAAAATCTGCGGCCAATACTGAGAAACGATTAAATATGGCAGTGAAAAAGAAATAAAAAAATGCTTGTGGAGTACAAATTTTGTGTGTTTGGTTGATGACTTCGTTTTGTTTTTTCTTTACTGCTTTTAGAGACAGTCTCTACTCTGTATCAGGCTGGAGTGCAGGTATGATCATAGCTCACTGCAGCCCTGGGCAAAAATCCTGGGCTCAAGGGATTTTCCTTGGCCTCCCAAAAGCACAGGATTACAGATGAGTCACCACACCTGGCCTTGATCACTTCTTTAACAAAAGTAAACAGAGAGTGGATCAGAATAAAGATCCGAGGGTAAATGGTAGTAGCAGGGAAACCAGTCTGACTTCTCGGGTGCTGAGTGAGCTCCTAGGGGGGAAATATTAATAGTAGGAGATAAGGCTGACACTTTGTGAGGTAGACTGTGGGAAGTCAATCTTTTCCCCAGAGATGGGACCTACCTGTCTTGCCCAGGCTGGTCTCTCATCTGCTGGACTTGCCACCTCCCGCCTCAGCCTCCTGGGTGGCAAAGTTCTTGGGATTATTGATATGCCTGGCCCCAAATTTCTAAACCAGATATTGAGATCACATGTGTTCTAAAAAGATAACTCTATGTAATGGTGGAGTCTAGATATCAAAGATTCGTTAGAGTTTCAGGTAACAATCTATGCAGGAATGGAGAAACTCCCAATTGAGCCAGTGACCGCAGAATGGAAGAGAGAATTGAGTACTGGGGTTAGTGTGAGGAAAACTTGGGCACCTTGGGGTAAGAACTCGTCCATTATTATATCTCTCAGCTTTTTTTTTTTCACAGTGTTTTAAACAACTACGTGTTTGGCAATGTTTTATTCAATGCATAAATAAAAGGTGGGGGTGTTAAGGTGTATCTCTAGCAATTTTTATATTTTGTTGTTTGAGTTTAGACAATATGAGTTATTTGGTGAACCCAGTCTGCCCAGCTGTATTTATATTTCATCTGTTAAGATTTATTATAGCATTCCATTGATCAATGGCTTTTCCATCTTTGGATACAAATAGATGAAATAGGCTTTTGGCTTTGGTAGAAGTTTGCAGCCTCCCTAATCCTAATGGGCGTTTTGCAGTAGTGTCTCTTATAAAATAGCTACTTACCATCTAATAATAGATATATCTTATAAAGCTTTTAGGCCATGTGGTCTTTATTGAAGCTGTTCACCTCTACTATTGCACATGATAACAACCATGGCTAATATGTAAACCAATGCACATGGTTAACAAAACTTTATTTACAAAAACAGTCAGGTGACAGATTGTCTCATGGGGTTACCATACATTCGCTAATCCCTCAAGTTTATAAAAATGTGAGTATTATGAACAGTATTTTTAAATTTGGTAATTGGAATAGGGGTAGCTGTGTTCAGCACTTGTTTGGAAAAAGAAACTTTGAAAATAATATTGTTGAATCCTTTAAAGTGAGAAGAGATGAAATGAAAAAGTAAGAATTTCTTTTGTGGATTTTTCTATTCTGTGAAGCATGCAATATTGTGAATTATACATTACAGTGTTATTAATAAGACATTGGGCTACAAAGTCAATGCAATTTTATTTTAGTATGTACATAGAAACTTTCATAATATTGCTTTTAAAAAAAGTTTTTTTTTTTTTTTTTTTTTTTCATAATTATAGGGTGTTGAGAAGAGTTGGTATGATTCTGGCCTAAAAATAATGATGCTCAAAGTGAAATTCAAGTACCTACCATTAGACTGTTATGGATTATGCTTTTTCTTTTAATTCCTGAGAAATTGGCAGTTCCCATGCTAGTGTTTTGAACAAACTTCTTTTCCTTCTGCCTTCCTTTACTCCCTCTTTCTTTTTTCTTTTCTCCTTCCTCATTTTACTTTATTTTATTTTTGAGGTATGGGGGTAACTTGCCTTCATCAACCTGACTGGGTAACCTGACTTGATATATGACACTTAACACTGCCTTACTCACTCTCCTCCTCCTGTCCCAAGCGTATGCTACCTTCTGCCTCTTTCCCTTTCTTCCACCTTGGGCTTTCTTAAGCTTCTCTAACTTGGGATTCCCCAGGACTTCAATTGATAACAGAAAATCAAAAGATAACAAAGAACAAAAAAAGAACCGCTGCATCAGATAGAATTAAGTTTAGAAAGGAATCTCTAGAACAATAGCTTCTACTCCTTTCTAGCATCTTTCTTTGTTCTTTTAATTTCTTATGTAGGGAGAACGAGAGCTTGTGAGTCTCTCTTATTTTCTCTATTTATTTGTTTATTTATTGTTTTTAATAAATACAAAGACAATTGTCTATTATTTTATCATCTTGATGAGGAATGTTAAAATTGCCAAAAACTGCATTGAATATTTATCAAATCAGTTCACATTCATATCCTCTTACACTTTTATTATCTCTTTGATTTGTATTCTTGTGTTTTAAACCCCACAGCACTGCAGGTATTGACTTCTCTGTAAGTGGGGAGGGAAATTTCTTTCTATCCATCTCAGGTTCATGGCTGAGGTCTATAATGAAAGACAGATTAACAAGAAAAGTACACAAACTTAATACACGTATTATATGACACAAGAGCTTCTGAGGGAAATAAAGACCTGAAGAAATGGTTAAAATCTGGGTAGTTTCTATGCTAGAGGTATTATCTAATGGTAATAAATGGGAAAAAAATTAGCAAGGCCTGCTTGTTCAGATTCTTTCTGTGTCCTGTGCCTCAGACATGGATGTCCTGTTCCCATGGGGCTTTAGGAAGGGCACTCTACATGAGAGTTTGTAATCTGCTTTCCGGGAGGTCAGAAAATCCTTTCTAGTTTTCATGACCTGTTTCAGGAAAGAGGGGGGTGGAGGTCACAGACACCTTCTAAGTCATTTTCCAGTGGACAAAGGTGTGGCATATTTGGGTATGTGTGTCAACCTTATCAGTTACTTGAGCAAGGGGACATGGTTGGAAGATACCACTCATGAGTTGAAAGCTAACATTTTCTTGATGGGGCTGCTAAAAATAACCATTTCCCCGCCTTCAATCTGAGTAGTAGCCTAGTTCTTAATGACGTTTCTACTAGATAGGCTCTAGAAAACAAGATTAAAGATACTAGATAAATTAAAATCTTATCCAAAAGACACGATGACAGAACAAGAAACATAAAATTCAAAATGTCTCAAGACATTCGATGCCATCACAGAATGACATTAAGCTGCAAAAATTTAATATTCTGTTCTCAATTTGGAAATCACACCATAATACAGCTGGCAAGGGAATTGAGGGTAGGTACAAGTGGGGCGTATCCCCTTAGCCATGGAATTAGCTAACACAGAAAAAGTAACAAAGAAGTAGATGACTTAATCATGAAGACAGACAGACATTTCTTCACATAGGCCTCATCTGAAGAAGAGTAACGGTGACGGCTGAAAGGTATATATAACAGCAGTTTTGTGGAAGCATTTAAAAGTGGTGTGCCAAGGCAAGAACTGTAACCTCTGCCTCCCGGGTTTAAGCATTCTCCTTCTGGCCTCCTGAGTAGCTGGGACTAGTGTGTGTCACCTCACTTCAGCCACAGCTAATTTTTTGTATTTTTAGTAGAGATGGGTTTTCACGGTGTTAGCCAGGATGGTCTTGATCTCCTGACCTCATGATCTGTCTGCCTTGGCCTCCCAAAGTGCTGGGATGACAAGCGTGAGCCACTGCACCCGGCCACTACCTCTAAGCAATAGGATGCATGCCATTTGTCTGAGAGAGAATTGATGGCGTTTTCTTAGTTATCTTTGAAATAATGTTTTTATTAATATAATTCCTGTGTATGATTGTCTATTATTGTCATATTAATCACCCTACTAATGGGTTCTATGTAGGAAACTGTACTTTGAATCATTAGGTGAATAACCCCTGTCAACCTCACAGGTTCCCTAATACATTCTTCCTTCTTCACTGTTCATATTTCACTGTGTAATTACAGCTCCCAATCCTTGTGCAGCTAATGACGGCAAAGGCCCCTGCTCTCACATGTGTCTAATCAATCACAATAGGAGCGCTGCATGTGCATGCCCCCACTTGATGAAGCTTTCTTCAGACAAGAAGACCTGCTATGGTAAATTTCTTATAGTTCTAATCAAAAATAAAAATAAAATTGAATTCTCTCAAATTATATTAGCATTCAGATTTTACTCATATTAAAATAGAGGAAGTTTTTTTTCTGTTTTCAAAAATATTTTAGGTGGTGGTGCTATTTCTAGCCACTATTGATGATTCATCTGCTCTGGGGAAAACTGGCAAATTCTTTAAATATGTGACATGTTGTACTTCATTATTTATTACCTTACTCATTTTTTTCTTCCTACTTTCTTATTTGATACGTTAGCAGAATTTATCTCCGCAAAACAGGAAGATTTTTAAGTGAAAATGCATTATCAGAAAATGATAATGTAGGTAACCTGCATAACAAAGAGGTGCTTAACAACTTTAATCTGCTCTTCTAAAGTCATTCTAGCATCATTTGGTAGAGAATTATCAACCCGAAAGGGGAAAAAGTGAAGTAAAATATATAACTTGGAAAAATTTGTTAAAAAAAAAAAAAAAACCCACACATTTAAATAGCCACTATTGATGATTCATCTGCTCTGGGGAAAACTGGCAAATTCTTTAAATATGTGACATGTTGTACTTCATTATTTATTACCTTACTCATTTTTTTCTTCCTACTTTCTTATTTGATACGTTAGCAGTAATTTATCTCCCGCAAACAGGAAGATTTTTAAGTGAAAATGCATTATCAGAAAATGATAATGTAGGTAACCTGCATAACAAAGAGGTGCTTGCACAACTTTAATCTGCTCTTCTAAAGTCATTCTAGCATCATTTGGTAGAGAATTATCAACCCGAAAGGGGAAAAAGTGAAGTAAAATATATAACTTGGAAAATTTGTTAAAAAACCCACACATTTAAACAAATGCATTTGAACTAAAAGATAAATTTTGTGAATAAAAATTTTTGCTTTCTGTTAATAATTGTATTTATTTGCAAAACATTACTTAATTTTAAGTACAGAAAAAAATATCAAAATTTAAGTCAGGCATTTAGGTACATGTAGCATTAATTTACATAATAATAACATATCTCAACACCAATAAACTAAGACAAAAAAAAAAAACAGAATATCTGTAACTACTATTTCTATTTGCTCTGATATTTTACAAATGTAGTGCAAGGAAGGCATCTATGGAAGTAAAAGTGATATAATGGCTCACAATGTTAGTTACCACAGATTTACAAAAAATTACACTAAAAGCATGCTTTAAATTATTTGAGCCCTGATTTTTATAGGAAAAATATATATGAGATTTCTAATAGCATGTTTAGTTTTATCTTATTCAAAGACAGTATAGAAAAACTGTTCTTGGAGTCCCTCAAAATCTTGCCATGGAATACAATATTGTAATTATGTACAAAGTACAAATATGGTATTTGACACTTGGAGTTTATGTAGTTTAGCAACTTTGAAATTCTAAGGTCACTGAGAATTGATTACTGAGAATATCTGGGTGTTTCTAGCCAAAGAAAAATGATGATGTAAGGCTTCTAACTCATTTTACATTTGTTTCTATTAAATACCTTAATTTAAAATAGATAAATTGTTACTTCATTGTTTCCATCAAGTATTGATTCTGATGTTCAGGAGTTAACATGTATTAAATCAAGTAATATTTTAGAATTTCTAGACTATTTCAAGCTTGCCAACTTCATAAGAGAAAAATAATTTCTATTTCTTTTTTAGAAATGAAAAAATTTCTTCTTTATGCAAGACGTTCTGAAATCAGAGGAGTGGATATTGACAATCCATATTTTAACTTTATCACGGCATTTACAGTTCCTGATATTGATGATGTTACTGTGATAGACTTCGATGCATCTGAGGAACGTTTATATTGGACAGATATTAAAACACAAACCATTAAACGAGCTTTTATTAATGGAACTGGGTTAGAAACTGTTATTTCAAGAGGTAAAAGATTTGTACATGTTATAACTTTAAAAATGTTTGTTATTCAATTTGTAATAATCACAAGTCTTTTATATTATTTCTCTATTACTCAACTCTATGCTGTTAATTGAAAGTTAGAATTGAATAGATATTTAATAATATGCTACATCCTTACAATTGTAGAATGTTATAATTAAATTGCACACAGCAGACTGATAATTGGAAATTTACATTCATGTGAAGAAAAACTTCAGAACAGATCACCTTAAAATTTAGATTTCTCGGCCGGGCGCGGTGGCTCAAGCCTGTAATCCCAGCACTTTGGGAGGCCGAGACGGGCGGATCACGAGGTCAGGAGATCGAAACCATCCTGGCTAACACGGTGAAACCCCGTCTCTACTAAGAAATACAAAAAACTAGCCGGGCGAGGTGGCGGGCGCCTGTAGTCCCAGCTACTCGGGAGGCTGGGAGGCAGGAGAATGGCGAGAACCCGGGAGCGGAGCTTGCAGTGAGCTGAGATCCGGCCACTGCACTCCAGCCCTGGGCGACAGAGCGAGTCTCTGGCTCAAAAAAAAAAAAAAAAAAAAAATTCTCGCCTCTGCTTGCAGAGAGCTGAGACCCGGCCACTTGACTTTTTCCTAGAGTGCGGAGAGACCCCAAAAAAAAAAAAAAAAAAAAAAAAAATTTAGATTTCTCAGCTGGGCACGGCGGCTCATGGCGGTAATCTCAGCACTTTGAGAGGCCGAGTCAGGAGTTTGAGACTAGCCTGAAGCAACATGGTGAAACCCTATCTCTACTAAAAATATAAAATTAGTCGAACGTGGTGGCACACACATGCAATCCCAGGTACTTGGGAGAGTGAGGCAGGAGAATCACTCGAACCCGGGAGGCGGAGGTTGCAATGAACCAAGATCATACCATTGGACTCCAGCATGGGCAAGAAGAGCAAAACTCCATCCCTCCAAAAAGTAAAAAAATAAAAATTTTAAAAAATTTACATGTCTAAATAAACAGACTTAAAGCCTCTTTCTTGCTGATGGAGGAATAGTTACATTTGCATAGATAAAATATAGGATATTAGGAAGGACTGGCTTATCTTTTTTTTTTTTTTTTTGAGACAGAATCTCACTTTGTCACCCAGGCTACAGTGCAGTGACACGATCTTGGCTCACTGCAACCTCCACCTCCCAGGTTCAAGCAATTCTCTGCCTCAGCCTCCCAAGTAGCTGGGATTACAGGCACCCACCACCACACTCACTTTGTCACCATGGGTTAAGCAGCAGTGACACGATTTTGGCTTCACTGCAACCTCCACTTCCTAGTTCAAGTAATTCTTCTGCCTCAGCCCCAAGTAGCTGGGATTATAGGCACCTACCACTATGGTTAATTTTTTTTTTTTTTTTTTTAGTAGAGACGGGGTTTCAGCATCTTGGCCAGGCTAGTCTTGAACTCCTGACCTCGCGATCCACCCACTTTGGCCTCCCAAAGTGCTGGGATTACAGGCGTGAGCCACCACGCCCAGCCTCCCTCCCTTACTTAAGCTTATAAACAACTTCCCTTTGCATATATTTTTATAGATCTAGGCTAAACAAATAAAACAGGAAAACTGTTCCTATTTCCTGACCCAGCAGGTTGAATGATAGGTTCTAAGAGAATGCTGTTCACTTAACCATTACAAAAATAGCAGTAATTTGTCCCAACATAGAGAACATAGCTGAAGTGAGACATATGTGTACATGTCATGGTTGAGTTCTAAATTTTTAGTATTGAATTATCCTAATACTTGCTTAAAGTTTGGCATATTGTGATTTCTGGGTCAGTTATTATCTTATTGAATGTGTCTTTATTGAGCACTTACTATTTGCCATGACTGAATATCCAAAGACACAGTTTCTCTTCAACCTAAATTTGGTAGAAGGATTGGGAAGGGGATGGAGAAAAGAGTAATCAACAATCCATATAGATGCATCAAACACCTATGCTTTAAAGTCTATTGAAAATTTAAAGTCAGACATATTTGAGCAATGGTAAATGTCATAAAGAAGGCAATAGGAAGTGCAGGTTTTATTCACAATCCTTTTCAATACTAGAAGGCTAGCTTGAGTACCATTAATAGATCTGAGAGTATTTGACCACTGAAATACAGTTGTATTCAAGCTAGCTCTTTTCTGATCTCAGGTTAGCACTGTTAATAAAATTTATTGAATGGTTTGGTTATAAGCTTGTTCAAATATTTATTTCAAACTTGCTGAAAAACAGCAGTCTTTATAAAAAAGCGAATGCAAAGATTTCCTCTTTGTTCAGAATTTTTTACAAGGGCAGGGGGAAATGTGGTTGGATAATCATTGTTAGACTGGATTAAAAATAAGAACAATGACTGATGAAATGTCATTATATTCCTTGAAACTTCAAGTAAAGGACATTAGATGTCTCCCAAGATTGACAATCAGTTAGGTGGTCTTCCCTCAAGAAATTCACCAAAGTCTGACAGAAAAATGTTCAAGTACTTTATTATAAATATTTAATATTACCTAAAAGGCTCTGAATTATAAAGATCAAAAGATGTTTTATCTTAAAAAAAAAAAAGGAGACAATTTTCTGTCTTTAATTATGAACTGGTATCTAGCAGTAATTTGGTGAGTTTATCATTGAGAAAATCATCAAGACTTATGTCTAGTTAGCAGACTGTATTCACAATTATCAACCAAAATTTGAGCAAAAATGTTTTCTCACTAATAATACATATACTCATTAGGAGCAATAATTACACATTCAGTCATTTTGAAAAATATTGGAATTTTTTTTTTTTTTTTTTTTTTGAGTTGGAGTCTCGCTCTGTCCCAGTATGGAATGCAGTGGTGCTATCTTGCCTCACTGCAAACTCTGCCTCCAGGGTTCAAGCTGTTCTCCTCCCTCAGCCTCCCAAGTAGCTGAGATTATAGGTGCACACCACCACACCTGGCTAATTTTTGTATATTTAGTAGAGACAGGGTTTCACTATGTTGGCCAGGCTGGTCTAAAACTCCTGACCTTGTGATCCACCCGCCTCTGTCTCCCAAAGTGCCAGGATTACAGGCATGAGCCACTGCGCCCGGCCTGAGCATTTTCTATATAGTAAGGAAGTTAAGGAGAATCAAGATATACTGAATAAGGCAGCACAGAATGAGAGGGATGTATCTGTACAGGCTGAAAGATTTAACAAAATAGACACCAAATTATGCCAACCTTTATAAGACAAGTTTTTAATGTTTATGTTAATTCTGAAAATAATGGTAATTAAGGAAGTGCTTCAGGGAGGGTGTGACTACATGATGAGCTTTGCCTTTGGAAGAGGCCACTTTACTGTGTTTAGTAGAGACTTCTACGAGTTGGGGGTAGATGAGCAGTGAACGCTGAGAGAGACAGGTTAGTTGGCTGTTACAGTGGCTCTAGTAAGAGTTACCAGAAGCCGGGACTAGAGTGGGGAAAACACAGATGGAGGAACATGGACAAATTATAGAGATATCAAAGAGTAAGAACATAAAGGAACTTAACAATCAATTGGACATAATAAAGTTTGAGGAATAGGTATTTTCGAGGATGATTCCATTTCTGACTTACCCCATGGGCTGAATAATGTTGCCTTTCAATTTCTTCCAGAATGAAACGTTGTTAAAGATGGATATATCTTTCTATTAGCAGAAAAACTTGAGATGAACTTTTGAAAATTTAGCTTCTGAACTCATCAAAGGATCTCAAATCCCACCAGTAATTGTACTTTATTTCATCCTTTCATCTTTTAGAAATTCCATGAATGACTCTGTGGAAACCTTTCTCTTACTTCTTGCACTGTGGGACTCTGTATTTTCTCACTTAACTGTCTTCTCTCTATTGGGCTTTTTCTTGAGAGACTTTATTTTCTTATCTTCCTTAGTCTAAATCTAATGTGGGGTCAGCTTCAAATATTGGGCCCCAAAGAAATTCACTGTGCCTATCATCTCCCATTATTTTCTTCTCAAGTGGGCCATTTTCTTTTTGTCTTTTCTTTTCTTTCTCTTCTTTCTTTTCTCCTCTCTCTCCCCCCCCCCCCCCCCCTCTCTCTTCTCTCTCGTCTCTCTTCTCTCTTCTCTCTTCCTTTCTTAGTTTTGCTCTTGTTGTCCAGGCTGGAGTGTAGTGGCGCGTTCTCGGCTCACTGCAAACTCCGCCTTCCGGGTTCAAGCGATTTTCCTGCCTCAGCCGCCCGAGTAGCTGGAATTACAGGCACCCGCCACCATGCCCAGCTAATTTTCTGAGACAAACACTAGCTCCTTGGTTCAAGCATTCTTGAGGGGATGTAGAAATAGTTTGCCAGCCTTATCATTCTACGTGTCCTGAAATACCAAGCTCTTCTTAATGTATATATTGCCCACATGAGCTATTTGCTGTAAGTAGCTTGGAGCAAATAGTTTGAAAATAATTTTCTTCAGTACAAAACTCCAAGTTGGGAGCTATTTTCTGTCATTCCTTTGTAGATAGATAGTATCCCACTATCTTTTGACTTCCTCTATTGCTATTGGGAATCCCCTTGTTTTTCTAATTGTCATTCTTCTTTTGGTGATGTCTCTTTGCTCTCTAGCTGCTTATAACATCTTTTCTTTTCCCTCATTAGAATATTTGTATTTTGCTACCTAGAGTTGTTATATCTTCTATGGGGTCCTGTCTTTCATCAGTCCAGGGGAAAGAAATCCTCAAATATCCTGTTTTCTCCAACTCAGTCTTTGTACTCTATACTTTGTAAACTCTAATTTATGTATTGGACTCTAATAAATGTGCTGGACTATTCATTCTGTCTTCTAACTCACTTAATTTCTTTGTTTCTCTGTGCTAACTCTGTTAACTTCTTTCAATTTGTTTTTTAGTTCACTAGTTGAACTGTGCCTAAACTGCTATTTAACATATTCAAAAATTATTTTTTATATTGTATTTTTTAATATCACAAGTTATTTTTGGTATTCATGCTTCCAAGAGAATCTTTTAAAAGGAATCATTGCACTTATTATCCAAAGCATCATTTATGCCATTAAGATATTTCACCTTGTCTTTATCCTACAGATAATAATTTATGAATATGTAGATTTTGGAGGCTCGGATCTTTTGTTTATATTTCTTTTAACTATTCTTTTATATCTCATTTCTTTGTGCGTGTTTTAATTATTTTTTTGTTCTGAGGATGAACTTAATGGGAAGTATGAGTCCACTGGGGTGTGTCTATACCCAGAAGATCACTCTTATTTAGCTCACGCATTCTTTGTAAGTTTAAGGACTGAACCCTCTTACACTGAGCAATTCATACTCCATGAAGCTCTCCATTCTCAGTGCAAGTGTTTGCCTGTATGATTGCACCTGCTTCTATAATCCAATTTTGTCTTCCTTGATAGTTTTAGCTAACGTGTGAGTGTGTGTTAGCATGTTGAGTTTTTCCTGTCTGTCTTATGATCTCGACAATGCATTTGAAAGTTACAGTTTATCATGCATCAGTTTTGTGGCAATAAAGGGCTTTTCAGAATATCCTTTACAATTAATCTCAGTTCCAGAAATGAGAGACCCCAGAACTGGAAAATTAAACTTCCTGAGAAACATACTCAGAGGACTTGTTCTGATTTACTTAAAAACAAAAGTTAGACCTAGAATTTATTATTTCAATATTTTTACCAAAAAGAGAAAAATATTAAATACATGATTATTTTTATTTTTCCCCCCATACGCTTATGATGAGTTTACCAGAGCACTCTGCAACAACCAAATGTGGGAATTAGTGATTGATAGCCAAAAACAAGACTATTCTTTTAGACATAAAGATGATAATTAGAAAGTTCAATCTGGTGGGAGAAAAATGTTAAGAATAAAAAATTAGAATTAGATTGGGTGCCTAATTAGACTCAGTACTTTGGAGGCCGAGGTGGGTGGATCACCTGAGGTCGGGAGTTCGAGACCAGCATGACCAACATGGAGAAACCCCATCTCTACTAAAAATACAAAAAATTAGCCAGACATGGTGGCGCATGCCTGTGATCCCAGCTACTCGGGAGGCTGAGGCAGGAGAATTGCTTGAACTTGGGAGGCGGAGGTTTTGGTGAGCCAAACCTTGCACTTTGCACATTGCACATTGCAACCTGGGCAACAAGAGCAAAACCCCATCTCAAAAAAAAGAAAAAAAGAAAAAAAAAATTAAGATTGCTTGAGTATGTATTTAAATACATACTCCTCAATATAGACATATTTGACTTTTTTTAGCTTAGTTCACATACTCTTAAAATTTTAGATTATGTAGTTCATGAATTTATTCATGAATTCATTAAAAATATTTATGTTGAAGGCAATGTTGTATACAACTGGGGAATTCATTAAAACTATTTATGTTGAAGGCAATGTTGTATACAACTGGGGAGAGGGGCCAAAAAGACAAATAAGCAAGGAGCCTGCCATCAAAACTCGTATGTGAAAGTAGTTATATATCAGCAAAGTAATGATTACATTAGGTAAAAAGAGATCAACCAGGTACAGTTCTGTTAAGTTAGGCAGATGGAGAAACTCTTTTCAGCTGGGATAAACAAGAGACATGACTAGGTTTTCGTGGTTGAAGGGATGATGTTGATCAGCTAGCCTATTATGAATAAAATTCAGGCAAGTGGTGATGGGAGTAGGTTATGAAATCTAAATAGTTTCCCTATAGTGTGGAAAGATCAGGTAATATCTGGAAATCTGAAAACATATTAATATGGTTAAAGTGTAAAGCATTTGGTTAAAAATAGTGAGAAATAAGACTGGGAAAGTACTGTCGCTATAGTCACACTATATGGAAAAGCAGACTAAGAAATTTAGACATCACATTCTGGGTGGCTAGAAGCTATTGAATACTTTGGGGCAAGTAAAGGTCATGATTCAAAGCTCTGTAGTCAGAAAAATAACCTGGCAGCAAATAAATCAATTGCTTAGAAGAGGAAATGCTGGATACTACTGTAATATTAAAGCTGGAAAGAGATTTGAGAGAGCATGAACTATAGAATTGACAAAAGACTAAATAGATATTTATGGCTTTCATTTGGCTGTGCTTTACAATTTTGAGTGGAATATATTCTCTAGGCCATATTACTAAGAGTCTATCATAAATGAATAAAAGGATTTTGAGCAGCAGAGACAATGCTTAGCCCTCACCTCCCGCCACAAAAGCAAACAAAAACAACAAACAAACAAAACCAACTTTGAAGAACAAGTATTTTAGGGGAAATAGAAACTTATTCTATTATTTTTGCCAATACCAAACAATCCAAGGTAAAATGCAGGAAATATTAAGTTTTAGATTGACAAAATATTCTTCAGCCCTACATTAGGCTGCATAAATACACATTATTTAATGTATTGTAATATTCATAACAATACTATGTGTTATCTATAGCCCATTTCACAGGTAAGAAAAGAGACTAAAAGACATTTAAATGACTTGATTAATGACAAAAATAGACACTCAACCTGAACATCAACCCAAATATTCTTATTACATCAATACAACCTCTCAGTAACCAATTAATTCTAGAGAGTGAAAGAAGGGGAAGAAGGAATAAAGATTCTGAGTGAGGGAAATAAATATATATAAGATGTGGCAGGTTTAATTTTAAGGAAGTGGTATATTACTTTTGTCTAAAAAAAAAAAAAAGAAACTGGTTGAGGATAACTAAAAATAAGAAGAAATGTGAAGTTTAAGATTGAGAAATAAGTTTATATTTGAAATTAACCAACTTACCTGCACATTAATCATGAAAAGTAATTTGCAGAGTGAGAGGGTTCTTGATTTGAAGAGAACCAGAAACACGAGTAATATCTTCTAAGGCAACTGTGATTAATAGTTACTTAGAAGTACTAAAAGGATTTTTGAGCAGCAAGGTAGGCTCAGTTGAGATTCTGGCATGGAAATGTAAGCTGGAAACCTACCATTCAAATACTGCACTTTACGGCTGACTCAGAACTGTCAGGCCCCCACATCTTGTTTTGCCGTCTTACATTTTGAACTAGTTGGCATACTTTACAGATCTGGAGTTTCCACTTTCACATTAAAAAAATCTAGCTTTGTGGCTTCTTCTGAAAAGAATAAAAATGGAAGATATAGCAATTGAATAGAGCTAAGTAGCAGCTGCTCAGAAGTTTTGATTGGAATCACCAACCTTGAGCAATAACAGAATCTTGGGCCTCTCCTCGGAACTACTGAATTAGAATCTTTATTTTAACAGTCTCCAGGTGTCTTGTAAGTTTGAGAAATAGTGGTCTAGAGAACTCTATAAGTACAGAATGCTAGAAAATATTAAAATTTTCTAAAATAAAACCAAAATCAAGGTAGAGCAATCAAATGCTATAAATTGGACACTAAACTGGACTACTTTATATGTTAATATTTCTGAAAAGATTTTCTGCATTCATCCTTTATAACACTTTATTTTTGTTTTTCTTGAAAAGGTGCAATTTTTAAGTTGAAGTTGGAATGTGCAATTATATTTAAGCCTAAATTCCATAATTGTTTTAAAAGGTGTCTAATTCAATAATACAGGACTAACAACCAAAATATTTATATTGACTGTAACAAATCCAAACTTAATTCGATTTCAGAATTTTCTGCAAAACCCGCGTTGAAGGAATGTTAAAATGATTTTATTGGATTTTCTCTTCTCAGTCAATTCCTCTTAATTATGTTTTGAAAGATGTTCAACTCTGGTGATTCTTTTAGGAAAGTTGAATTGTTTTATTTCATTTTAGTAACAACTTGGCACTTAAACCATAAAATAGCCCATTTGTTGATGGCCCACAAGTACTTTCTCCTAACTAGAAAGATGTGCTACCAACTGGAGAAGCTATGACTCTAATTTGAATTTTGGTCACCTTGGCTCATAAGGCTGCTGCCTGTGTTTGCTCCTAAGTGTTTACTAGTGAATCATTGACTGTTAGTGTAATTTCAATGCTAATTGTTGCTTCAGGTTTTCAAATAGCTCAGCAGTAAGACATTAATGATTATTCATGCCTTAAGAAGGGCTGATAAGGGAATGAGATTACAATCTTGTGTGATTTTAGCTAACAAATTAAAGTGTAAATTAAATTTTCCCTCAGATAGAAAATAACTACTTGGAGAGCCAATACAATGAAAACCTTCATTCACTTTTAAATCTTCTCTTTCCTGTTTTATAGATATTCAGAGTATCAGAGGACTAGCAGTGGATTGGGTGTCACGTAATTTATACTGGATTAGCTCAGAATATGATGAAACGCAAATTAATGTGGCAAGGCTAGATGGCTCTTTGAAAACCTCAATTATCCATGGAATCGATAAGCCACAGTGTCTTGCAGCTCACCCAGTCAGGGGGTAAAGTATGATTATTTTTTTTTTAAGCTTTTCCAAAATTTCAGAGACTTTTGCTCTGATTTTATATAAAAACACTATTTAATTCATAGGAGATATATATATATATCAGCCATAAGAGTCACAAAATTTAAATATGGAAACTGTAAAAGAGATTCCTGGTTAGAGTTTTATTATCTGGAGATTATATATATATTACACCAACATATATATCTGTGACATGTGTAAGATCTCATTAATTTATGTTTCTAAGAAATGACAGTTCTGAATAAAAACAGATGTAGGAGAAAGTGGTTGCTTTCATTTTGAAAGCCAGTGGTTAAAAATGCATGTACTGCATGTTGGTATCATGGTCACTGCGATGTAGATCAGATTCTTCAATCTTTTGGATGGTCACCTTGTACCCTTAAGGGAGCTTGCATAGAGCTGAAAGAGATTCTTTTCTCTCTAGTGCTTTCAACAGCAATAGTAGAAATGAGTTTGTTACCCTCTGTGGCATCTGATTTTTTCAGAGCCAAGAGGACTCAATCTTGATGAATTACTTAACAAAGAAAATAATTTACTATAGTCTTAGCTAATTATTCAGTCATGTATGTAGGAGGAAAAAGGAAGTGAGATTTTTTTTTTTTTCATTGTCAGGAAAAAGCAAGAATGGTACTTACTTCTCAGGCAAATATGTAGGTTATCGCCAGCAAATGGCTGAACAATTTTCGATTTTTCTGAAGAGAGTTACTCCTGAGTCCAGAATATATTTTTATGTTTACTTTGTTTTTTAGTGTATATTTCTACTCAGTGAGTAGGTCTACATCTAATATTTTCAATCCATATCTCTTTTGAATTAAGAAAACTCTACTGGACCGATGGAAACACAATTAACATGGCAAATATGGATGGCAGTAATAGCAAGATTCTGTTTCAGAATCAGAAGGAGCCAGTTGGTGAGTATTTTTTAATAGTCACCAAGTTTTCAATGTGACAAACCTATACTTGCACAATATACCTTTGATCTAGATCCTAAAAGAAAATATTAAAGATTAGTAAAATAAGTAAATTCAGGAATTGATCAATTTCATTGAATCCATTGGGTTTCTGTTAGGTTTATTAGTCAAAGTTCTCTAAAGGGACAGAATTAATAGGATAAATGAACATACAAAGGGGAGTTTATTAGGAGAATTGACTCACAGGATCACAAGGTGAAGTCCCACAATAGGCCATCTGCAAGTTGAGGAACCTGGAAGCTAGTCCCAGTCCCAAAACCTCAAAAATAGGAAAGCCGACAGTGCAATCTTCAGTCTGTAGCCAAAGGCCTGAGAGCCCCTTGCAAATCACTGTTGTTAAGTCCAAGACTCCAAAAGCTGAAGAACTTGAAGTGTGAGGTTCAAGGGCAGGAAATATCCAGCATGGGAGAAAGATGGAGGCGAGAAGACTCACCAAGTCTGCTCTTTCTCTGCCTGCTTTTATGCTAGAAGCTGGTTAGATCGTGCCCACCCAGACTGAGGGTGGGTCTGCTTCTCCCAGTCCACGGACTCAAATGTTAATCTCCTTTGGCAACAGCTTCACAGACACACCCAGGAACAATACTTTGCATTCTGCAATCCAAACAAGTTGACACTCAATATTAACCATCACATTAGGCGAGGAGGAAACATTATCTGAACAGGAAGATTAATTTTTTAATATAATTTTTGCAATGTATTAAATAAGTTACATTAATGTAATTAATAAATATTTTCACTGGTGAAATATCTGATACAATACTACAGTGGCAATATAACTACTGAGTCTTTTCCTGATCATCATTATTGTGTCATTTTTGATAATTACAAGGTTTTGGGTTTTGATATTTAGTATTTAGTCTTCATTTACTCTGCAGTGTGTTAATTTAGTTTCTTATTCTACCTTTGCCAACCATTGCAAATAATCAGATATAACATGATGGCACTGACAGAGAACTTTGACTTGTTCCCAAGAAATATCTTTGAAAATATTAAGTATAAACATTCTCTTAGAATATAATATTTTACCCATTTGCATGTAGATATCTATAATACTGTTTTGAACCTTAATCACTTTTTCCTCATGTTTTCTTGCATACCTTTGAGAAGCAAATATTGTTACAGGGCCTATTTGTCATTTCCAAATACCTTTTAAAATATTAGTAAGCCCCAATTGTGATATTATTATAATAAAGACGCAAATGGTGGAATATACAGCAGAAAATTCATTATTTTGTTTCAGTTGAATACTATGTATTTTTCAAATCTGGGAAAACAATCAATATATTATGAAGCTTGTCAATTTTTTCTTAGTTTTAGAAATTTAGAAACTTAGTTTTAGAAATTTAGGACACATTTTTCATAGTCATGATTCAATAAAAGTGTAGTATCACTAAGATTTGCAATAAATAATTCTTTTCATGTGGTCTATAGAATAAACCTCTGACATAAAATGATACTGTTAACAACTCTTTAGCCAGTTTGTTCTAAGATTTTTACATAATTGAAAGTCAGGGTTGTATTAGAAATTAAAGGCAAATTGAAACACTAATGCTTCTATGTGGGAGATGATAGAACTAAAGAAACAAGGGTCTCTACAAGATTAGGGCCCATACAAAGGACTCAATTTGAACTAAGGCAATTCAGCTGGTCCTTATCTGGAACTGTTCAGAATTTGTAATGTTGAAAAATGAGTGTGATAGAAATAGCATAAGCAAATCGAGCCCTTACATTGTAATATGGTAATCATAGTTTGTACCAAAATGTTAATATATATGCTTATTTCTATAATGGTGAAAACCTTGTCTTTTCTAACACTAAATATCCAGTTTCCTACTCAATTTTTTTTTTTTTAATAAGAGACCTAACAGCTTATAATTTTAAATAAAAAAAGTTTATAAGAGAGGTATTTGTGTTACCTATTCACAATTTATAGCTGATCCCTCAGATGTTGTTCACCAAGTGATATTTTAACTGCATAAGGATGATGATTCAGCTTTCAATAATATATATGTCTACTTTATGTCAGTGATTATATTTGAAAATTTAAAAAAATAGATTTTCAAAATGACACTTTTTAAAAGTTTTAATTTGTACAAGACATATTATTTTAGCATAATTGACTATACCTTAAATCAGTATTGAATATGGCTGTGAGTCAAACATTCATTTATTCAATAAACAGATTTTTATTGAGTATTGGATTTTGCACTAGGCCTGTTGATAAAAATTTGACACTGTCCTTTTCCTGAAGGGGCACAGGAACCTAAATTATTTTAGATTCCATTAAGTAAATTTAACTCATTGCCCTTGAGCAAGTTACTGTTAGCTTGGTGTGCTTGGTTTCCCTATTCATATAATCAAGACAAAATGTCTTTTTTTATAAGGTTCTCATGAGAACTGAATGAGAAAAATTTATGAGGCAAAACATCTGGCCCTTAATAATAGAAACTGTCAGTAATAGCGGTAGTGTGTACATTAGGTCCAACAGACTGGAATTCAAATTATATGATTGTCTGTAGTATTAAGACTCTAAGTGAGTTTACTGAAGAATAAACAGAATAGATTCATAGAAATGTAGTAGAGGAAATATACATAACCAAGTGGGCCTCTGAAATGAGCAAATGTTTACATAAATGTGGGGATTTAACTCAGTACTGCTTTGCTGCTCTGGCTAAGAGGCAAACAAGTTGAAAGTTAAGCGCCTTCTGGTAACTTTCCACTTTAGCTTGCTATTCCTGTTAAGCAGGTGCCCAGATTGATAGTCTCCCCAGTGCTTAATGAAAAGCTGTGTTGTCCATGTATAAATTCAATACTCTTTTTTTTTTAACTTTTTAAATACTTCCAAAATCTGAATGCTCTGCAGCAATTTCCCAGCCTGCTATATACTCTCACATCCCTCTCTGCCCCAGAAATCCTTATTTTAGATACCCACAAGAAGAAAGTGAGCAGACGAAGTCTCTCCTGCCTCTATTCTCCCATCTCCCTACCATGAGCAGTGTTTGTAGATCACTTAACATCTCCTTTGGTAACATTCACCATTTGGATTTGCCAATCCAAATTAAGTGAATTAAATTGTTCAAAGTCTAAGTACAAGAAGAAAAAGAAAATTAAGAAATCCAGAAATTAGGGACAATGTATAGCAATTTTCACATATACATAAAACGTTCTTTTTGTCATATTTCAGGGACAACACGGTTGGGGAAAAAAATGTTATTTGAGGAACCAAACACATCTGAATATGAATCACTGCTTCAATGCATATTAACTCTGTGACTTTAAACAAGTCTTACCTTTTCTAAGGCTCAGTTGCATATCTATACGATGGAGATAATATTATCTAACTTATGTGGTTATTTTTAAAGGCTCATATGCAGTATCTCATGTTCTAGTTATTTCATACTTAAGTATTCTAGAGAGTTCTTATATATGCATTCAAGAAAGTACATTAAATAATATTTAAAAATTTAAAAGAGACTACATCTTCATTAAAATGAATGAGTAAATGCAGCATTTTCATTACTAAAGTATGATATGTACATACAGATGTGTGTGTGTCTACTTACATACATATATATGTAGGGAAGTTCAAACTTTCCCTTTGAAGGTTTGAGTCTAAGTCTGCTGAAATAAATTAACAATAGGCAGATTAACAGGAAAAAAAAGGCATACAAATGTATTAACGTGAACATGGACACGGGAGTCCTGCAAATATAAAACTCTAAAAACAGGCATGTGGCCAAGTGTGGTGGCTCACACCTGTAATCCCAGAACTTTGGGAGGCTGAGGCAGGTGGATCACCTGGAGTCCGGAGTTTGAGACCAGCCTTGCCAACATGGTGAAAACCTGTCTCTACTGAAAAATACAAAAAATTAGCCAGGTGTGGTGGCATGTGGTTGCAGTGAGCCAAGATCGTGCCATTGCACTCTGGCCTGGGCAACAAGAGCGAAACTTCATCTCAAAATAAATAAATAAATAAAAATAAAATAAAAAGAGCAATGTGACTGAAGTTTTTATACTGTATGGAAAGGAATAGTGACTTGGACCATAGCAACAGGTTATGGGAAGGAAAAGGGAGAAAAGGCGTGACCAGCAAAGGTTATCTTTATGCAGGTGAAGCCTCACAGGTGGCAGCCCTCAAAAAGAATAGATGGGAGCCTGTGACAGAAGTTTCCTTGTCAGACCTGTAATAATGTCAGACCTTTAGTTTCCTTTTCCTGTGAGTTAAATTTTTCCTACTTCCAGATAATGTAGATAAGAAGGCCTCAGATAAAGCTCTTACATCTGTGTTTCACTAGATTTTCTCAACAGATGCAAGTCTTCCCTACTAAGGACAGCTTTTCAGAACTATTCCTGTGTCTGCAGCCCCTCTGAGTAGTCATCTTAAAATAGACCAAAGAAATATATTTTGGGGTGGCATATTTTCATTTCCTTCACATACATTTCAAAACCATTGAGAAAAGTTATTAGCAGAATGTTACTTACATACTTATCGCATGATACCATTTGTATAATTTCAAAGTGAAATACAAAATATTAATATACTTGCTCCCAGATATACTTATTTAAAAACTATAGAAAAAAGTGAACGGGAAATATACACACCAATTTTATAATAGCAGTTGACTTATGGAAGAGTCAATGATAACATCTGACAGAGAACTTTCTTCTTTATCAAAGGTAATTTTAACAGTATTAGTTAAATTTAGTTTACATTTAATAAATGTATTCAAATTGAGTATAATGAAATGTTAGTAGTGTTCAATTCTGGATAGTGAGTTCATGAGTTTATTTTCATCTTCTTTCCTCTGTTGGATTTTGCTCCTCCAAGTGTTACCAAAACGACCCATTGTTTAGACACAGCTGACTTTCTTCTTCACAATGGTAAAGGAGAACACTAACTGGCCAAGTCTTAGTAATATCTAAGAGAGGAAAGGGCAAAG